ACGGTGGATAATGTCGTGTTAAAGTTATTTATAACCACTGAAAGACAGCATGGATTGTTAGTTGTTGTTACAAATAATACAAAAATTATAATAAAAATTTAAATACAGCACTATGACTTGTATGCTGCCTTGAGGCTCAGAAATGTTGCAGGTCCTGATTGATTATTATTGTGTAAAGTTTTATGTGATGAGGTCACATCTAAAGAACAAAATTCTTTATCACTATTCCTGAGATGTCACTACTCTGTTTAGCTGACAATCAAATGCGCTATTAAACTACATTACTGAACAAGTTTATGAAAACAAAAAGTGTTATTCCCCACTTGTATTTGGAATGCTGTATGATTTATTGTCCTCTAAGCAGTTTGCTTGGTTTATCAGTTAATTTTTTGAGTTATAAATTTGTTTACTTGGTTTAACAGTCTGAATGCACAACTTTCTACGTCATGGTTTTAGAAACCACTGTTTAAGAAAGTGATACACAGGCTGCTAAATGTGTTAAGACAGTCTATTTTCATGTCTACCTGCTTAAAGTGAGCTAAATATCATAGATGGAGAGTGAAATGCATGAACTTGAATCCATGTGCAGCTGTGTTTAATGGATGAAAAGTCACTTTCTTGCATTATATGGTAGAAAGTTGTAGAAAATAAAGGTTTTTCTTGTTTTTTTCAGTCAATGCCATGGAAGCTTATGGTGGTGTAAGGGGTAACTCTGACAGCTCATTCCTGCTCTTCAAAAAGGTAAGGAAATGATCATACTAAAGATATGAATTTGATTATGATAAACTAAATTGAAGTTGATATTTTAGAGCCACCAACTACTTTCTGACATTCTAATTCTGTTATTACTGACGTTTTTGTTGTTGTTGTTTTATGTAGTTTTTTGTCAGTTCATTTTAGTTTTTGCTAATTTAATGATCCAGTCGGTAAACATTTAACTTGTGAATCACAATTCAAAGCTAATAAGAACTGGCGGTTGGAGTTGGACCGTACTATGCCTGTCCCTGTTGCACTGGTTTCGAAGTTCTGATGCATCTGCATGTCTGAAGACTTCCCCGAGGGACTTGCTCATAGTTCAAAGCAAAATTGGTGACATGTAATGTGGTTGTTGTGCTCAACACAGAATATACACGAGCTAAGTCTGGAAGCTGGAGGGAAGAAAT